ACCACTAAAGGTTTTGTCACCACTGCTACATCACTTAATGCATCACAATATAGGTTCATGTTCATGCTATAATTTATGATGCTTTCGTTTGGGAAGATCTGTTTTCTTAGTCACATCAGTTGGTGCTATTTCCCCCCTGTAAATTCCTCTTCCATCCCAACGGACTCTGCTGCTCACATGTTGTCTGTCAATCCCCTCTTTATCCCACCCTTCCTCCAGTTTCCCTTCCCTTATATTGACCTCACGACAATGGCAGTATCACCCAGCCTGATGAAGGGAGCTCTGACTCTTGGAAACTTATTCCCTGAAACTCTTGTTGGTCTCTAATCTGCTATTGGACTCAAATCTAACTGTCCTAGTATCACCAAGTAAGTGTCATGCAAAATGTACTCCAGTCTCCCTTCCCTTATATTGACCTCACGACAATGGCAATATCACCCAGCCTGATGAAGGGAGCTTTGACTCTTGGAAACTTATTCCCTGAAACTCTTGTTGGTCTCTAATCTGCTATTGGACTCAAATCTAACTGTCCCAGTATCACCAAGTAAGTGTCATGCAAAATGTAGATCTGAACATGGGTCTCCTCAATCCACACTGGTCTTCATGCCATTGGTCCATCTACTTCAGCATGGTCTGCTCTGATGCAGGTGATCTCTAGAGATTCAGACAGAGACAGATCCTTTCCAACACCTGTTTTCTTAGACCACCTCGGTTTAAACCTTTATCCTTTGGCACACAAAGCATGATTTCTCTACCATCAGTCCATCAGTGTCATCATTGTCTACTCAGACTGGCAGTGGTTCAACTTCTCCATGCCATGCTTTGTTTCTGAGCCGTTGGGCCTGGCTAGGGGGGTTCTCAAGGGTTTCCAGGTCCCCCTAAATTTCTGGAGAACCCCTTCCTAAATCCCACATGGCTCTGCCTCCATAAATAGTGATAATGGCCTGTGACATCACTGGCTCCTCCCTATGACGTCACTGGGCCTTGGTTCTTTTAAGGACCTAGCACAGCAATGCCTCTGGCCCAGCCCCCCCCCCCCAGGGAAATTGGAAAGTCTACGCCCTTGGGTGCAGTACAGAGTCACAATGAATGGCTTCTGTTTTGGAAAGACGCTGTAGAACATGGCACTGGATCCAGACTAAACTTTCTGTGAATTGAAAGAAAGGTTTATTTTCTGGCAATTTCCCCTTCCTGCTATAGAGCTCCAATTTGTCCCTCATTCCATTCATGAGAACTCCTGTCCTCTGGGGACAGCATTTTGGGAGATCAATAAGCTGCATCTGGAGGGGGGGGGCAGGAATGTTATTTTGTGCTTATGGAAGTGCCTAGGTTTTGTGCCAAGAAGAGATCACAAGGAGGAAGCCTTGAATATGCAATCCGTGGGTCAGGACGCTGGTAAGGTTAAAGGCATTCTTCATCATTATAAGATAACTGTGTTGTTGTTGTTCCTTCTCTGCAGGAACACTATGGGTCTTTGAAGGGGCTGACCTTAAGCTGGATAGGTGATGGAAATAATGTTCTGAATGCCATTATGATGAGTGCTTCCAAATTTGGGATGAATCTGCAGGTTGCTACTCCAAAGGTGAAATAACATTATCTACATCTAGTAGCATTATCTGAGTCTAATTTTTTCCTGTAAGTATATTAAACAGTTTAAGCTGCATAATAAAATAAAGGGTAGCATGTGTCCATGAGTCTGCAGTGTAGATCATTATTTATTTATTTATTTATTTATTTATTTATTTATTTATTTATTTATTTATTTATTTATTGTTTCATTTGATTTTTAGCCTGCCCTGCCCTGCACAACTTGGGGATGTGTGTGTGTGTGTGTGTGTGTGAAGCAGCTTTGAAAAAGGAAACTAATTTTTAATATGGCTTGAATACAGTGTAATGTCATTTACTTTGGCAGGGTTTTGAGCCAGATCCTACAATAACCAAAATAGCTGAAGAGTATTCTGTAAAGGTATGAGCATGAAAATTTAAAACACAATTTCTTCTCTGCTGCACGTGAATTTGACTCTCTTTTTTTTTTTGGCTTTCTTCACATTAGTATGGCACCAAATTTTTTCTCACAACTGACCCTTTGGAAGCTGCCAATGGAGCCAATGTTTTAATCACAGACACATGGATAAGCATGGGGCAAGAAGAAGAGAAACAGGAGAGGCTGAGGGCTTTCCAGGGTTATCAGATCACAATGCAGGTAAAATACAGAGAAGGGTTTTTTGCAGTCTGTGGTGTTGTTGATGCTAGCAGAAATGTTCAAAAATATACATATTTGTAGTTTTTGTTTGTGAAGAGTGGGCATTTCTAATTATTATAACTACTCTGAAGCAACTTTTACACCAATGGAATGTGTCGAATATATTTAAATCCCTGCTGATAGTGGACAAATCTTAAGGAAGAACACCACACAAAGAAGGTACTTTCCCACCTTCCTGAAGCATTGACATGGAAAGGATTAACATTTGCACTGATCCCCCTCCTCTTTGCTTGGACCCTGAGTATCATGAACCAGAACCTGCTCACATGAGGAAGTTTAGCACTCCCTTTAAGAGCCTTATGAGTTCTGACTGAAAATTATTCTTGACTTATGCACTGAGGTAGGTTGCTGCCACCAGCCTTCTATATATAATTTCTCCTTCAAGGTAGATGACCCCCCCCCAAAGAAATGGCATAGGAAGGTACACTACAAGAACAGATGTATAGCAGTTGGTCTCTTGAAATGGAGTCTTTCTAACTTCCCAAAGCACCTACTTTTTTACAGATCCTAAACATTACATGAAAAGCTAGGCATATGGGGATTGCTGAGTTTGCATTCTTTCATAAATTGTGAGCAGTTAGCATTAAAAAGTTTGTTTTTATTGATAAAGCAGAGAGATAACAGCAAAATGAGCAAATTAGAAAAGAGAACAAATTGTGAAAGTCATTCTAACTGCTTTGCTCTTGTTCAGCAGTGATAGTCCTGTGCTGATCCTACACTATGTCTTTATTGCTAGTTTAACAGAGATGTTTTGATAATGAATGTGATGGGCTGCATTTTCCCATGATGGGTGATGTCTGACCCCTCCTCTGTTCATCAGAAAGGCCACTTGCTTAAAGGGACTGGGGCGTTTATGTGAATATTAGTATGAACTTGCCCATGATTTTCCTGAGTAGTCTGTCTCAGGATGTTATCAGCTTCTAAGATAAGCAGGTAGTAACTGGGCCTGGTGCATTCCCAGTGGTAGTTTTACACTTATGCAACTTTCCCTCCCCCTTGAAGTTTGCCTGGCACCTTTCTCTATGTTCATTCATCATGTGAAGACCATGGTTTCTTTTTCCTTTAGATAAACTTATTGCTGCTTTCCTCCAGTTCTTTGTTGTACCACCAACTTCTGGATTGTTCACTTTCCTCTTGTTAGTTTGTAAAATTCAAATTGCTGCTATTAGTTGGGCTTTTAATTTCTGCTGTTTTAGCTTTCTAAACAATTATTTTAATGTCTTCTGTAAAACTTTGTTTCTGTATATAAATGTTTCTGCTCTGAATGCTAAGAAAATCAGTGTCAAAATATTTTAAATACATAAATAGTGTCAGTTGCAATTCTGGATGCAGCCAATACGAAAGTTAGCATTGAAGTTGACCTTGCCAGGTTGGGGTGTAAATTACTAAAGACAGAAAATGATTACTTATTACTTATCAGAAGATGGTGTATCTTAACTATTGACATTTAGGTAGGTACCTAGCAATCTGTGCTTAGAAAGAAGTATATTGGGTTATGGAAGACAAGATGTAAGATGGCCTCTTGGGTAGACTCAGCCAAGTACTTACTGTCAGTGCTGATCCTTCATGTCACCCTAGAAGTAGTATTTAATTTGTAGATATCTAATATATCAAAATAGTGATCATACTGGCCTTTTCTGACAAACTGTATGGAGCCCTATTCACATAAAGGTACTCAAAACTCAGCACCACTGAAAGTAACAAGAATTAAATCAGTTGTGGTGAATTCCATTTAAGAATGATGAACATTAGCTGCATAGGGGGCATGCTTAATTATCTTAAGAACTGGTTTTCTTTAAAACATGTTTTTCCTGCTCTGCTGTTGTTGCTTGAACATCTGTACTAAGATAACAACTCTTTAAAACCTTTTCCTGACTGAGCTGGGCTAGCAAGCCTGCTATAAATCAAAACTGCCTGAGCAGGACTGGGAGCACATTTGTTATATAAAAATATGAAATCAAAAATATTTTAAAAGCCATTAGACTGAATTATTTCTCATAGCAATAGAAAATTGAATCTAATAAAATATTTAATTTTACATGGGGGGGAAATTCCTTATTTGAAATTAATTGACCATATTTTAACTTCATTTCCCAGAATGGTAGTCAGGGATATATTCAAAATTGCTTACAATGCTATGAACCTTTGCTCATATATTACATGTCTATGTAATGAGTTATTGATATATGGACTAGGTTCTGGTCTCTTAAAGCATGATTTAATACACCTTTATAAAAACATTATACTGGCATGCACAGCATTGACTCAGAATGTACTCATTGATCCACCAAAATTTCTGCTCTTGCATCTAAGCATATTCAGTACCTCTTGATTACACTGGCATTTATCTTTAGCAGCTCCAAAGGACAGCCCAGCCACTGGATGTATGAGTTGTTTGTCCTCATTGCTAGAAGGAAGTACTGATGAAAAACTTGCATAACGGTAATAGTAACGGGCAGAGTCTGCAGAAGAAAGGTTGCACAGGCAAGTGCTGGCATCCGGAGAGACATCAGCTCCTACAACTCCACTGATGAGAGTGCCATTGCTATGACATACAAACTAATCTGAGGCATTGCTGTCCTTAGGTCATTTATTAGTTCTTTACACAACTACACTGTTGTGCAGTTAATGGAATATGTTATTGGTGAACAGTGGTTCGTTC